GGATCGAGTCCCGCATCGGGCTCCCTGCTCGGCAGGGAGTCTGCTTCGTCCTCTGACCCTATCCCCTCTCATGTGCTCTCTGTCTCTCTCATTCTGTCTCAAATAAATAAATAAAATCTTAAAAAAAAAAAAAAGAGAAGTCAATAAAGACAGAGAGAGAAGATGCAAGAGAGAATGAAAATGACTTTAGAGACTTGGAGGGGGTGGGGCAGGGGATTGGTGAAGAAATCGTATGAACAGCCATGGAGGAAGTCTCAACCTTGAAGAAAATGCTTCCTCTTCCGATAAAGCCAAGGAGAGGATGACAAACGTTGCCTTCTTTTTAATTTTGCCCAAGACCCTATTACCTGCGTGCTATGGAAGTCAGCCCATTTCACTCTGAAGGCTGCAAATCTCAGCATTCTCCTTTGCCCCTCTTATCAAGGGAGGAAAAGGAAGGTAGGAGATACACCTGTGCAATCACACGTCCCCTTTTTATTACTCACACTTCACAGTACAACAGCACAATACACCGTGTGTTCTACGGATCACAAAGCATAGGAGATACTCTCTCAAGAGGGGATCCACGGAACTTAAGATAGATGGGGAACACCAGTAGTATTCCACTGGATATACTCTGGAGCAAAGTGCCACACGATATTCCAAGGATGTCCCCAAGACACTAACCTAAAAATGAGTGCCTCAGAATATATGGGTCTGCAGACATCTACACTAAGCAAATAGGAATTCAGGGTAAAGGGTAAGAGTAAATGTAATTAGAGATCACTGGGCAGCTGGACTGTCAGGGCAAGGTTTACGGTAAATGTGCCTTCTTGGCTAGCCTGTAAGAAATTCCTATCAGCAACCGGAGAAATCTTTTTCTTTCTGGGTGACTGACCCCAGAGGATGTCAGAGCAGTATCCAGCTGTCCAGTTGTAAATTCTCATGAGCATTCCTTTAGCGCTTTCATTTTTAAAAAAATTAATTATAATCACCTGAGGTAAACCTTTTACAACTGTATGCCTAACTGCCACATAGCAAAAAACAAACAAAAAAGATTTGCTATAATGTTGGTCCTTGTATTCTGACTTTACTCTATCACTTGTGGAACATGTAAGCCAGGACTCAGCAACATTTTTTTTTTTAAAGATTTTATTTATTTATTTGAGAGAGAGA